AATAATAATAATAATAATAATAATAATGTGTAGATGCAGCAGAGTGAGTAATTTGAGACACTTTTAATCAAAGATAAAAACATTTGGGACACTGACCTCAGAACTTGGAGGCTCATTTATTAAACAGTTGTTAAATGTGGAGGAATGAGCTGCAGAGCATCACTGCAGTGTTTCTCCTCTTTAGAGGAATTTAATAAATCTGGGTGTGAGACGGATGAGCTCGACCCACACGGCTCAGAAATGACTGTGAAATACCCGACCTGTCAGCAGCTCCCMCAGAGAGGCCAGGACCTGAACCGGCACCGCCTCACGACTCTTCATGCTAACAAGTAGCAACGTGTGGAGTCTGATGGAGGTCACATTTAAAATATAACTTTAATGTTCAGCAAAAAGATTTAACTCTTTCAAATAATGGGAATGGCACATTAAGACCTGCAGTGTGAACCTGGCTGGGTTTACCAGAGGTGGACCAGCACCACATGAACCAAACGACAGCTGGGCCAGTTGTGGCCACACCTGGCCCACATGATGAAGGATCACAGTTTAAGTTGGGCTGATGGAGACTTTACCACAGAGTGAATCTACTCTTGTCGTTCACTCCTCCGGCGGCCGAGTACCCCCCGTGGCCCCCACCCCCTGCTGCCTCTAGGGGTACGTTTTCGACAGTTTTCGGCACAGGAGAATGCGAACGTGAGGAGCTGTAAACTGCCGATAATTGCTGCGAATCAGCGAAATTCACGTCACTTTACAGGGACGAAAATCTCACTTTTCATACAGTGTCTAAACTTTGCTAATTTTTGTGAACAAGCTCTCCTTCCTCCCACAAACATTTATTTCTTCTGCACTTTAAGCATCAGATCGCAGGTGTTTTTCTCTACTTTCACTCTGTTTGTAAAACGGATGGTTTTCACCTGAATCCTCCCAGAATGCAGAGCTTGAACCCAGACGSTCCACGACTCCATTTATCTGAGCTCAGAGTTTGTTTGTTCTTTAAACAGGCTTAGCGTTAGCATTAGTTCAATGCGTAAAAATCCCCCTTGCGAAGCACGCCCAGTTCACGTGACGCTCAATCCAGTAATATACAGTGGGTAAAATAAAGTATTGAACACGTCACCATTTTTCTCAGTAAATATATTACTAGAGGTGCTAATGACATGAAATTTTCACCAGATGTTGGTAACAACCCAAG